GTCGGAGTTCGCTCCTGCCGGACAGCGTCGGCCAGGCTGGGCCGCCGGAGCCCGGTTGTGCCCCGAGCCTGCTCGTTCTCTCCCCTCCCCCTCCCAGTCAGGGTTCCTGATCCGGAGCGGGACGGCGGCCCCCCTCTAGGCGATCGGGCGGGATGCAGATTCTGGAGTTTATGAGATTCTGGAATTGTTCGCGTTGGCCAAACCGAAACAGGAGTGGGAGGGAGCAGGGGAAGAAAGCGTTCGCTCTCGCGGATGGCAGCTCCGTCCCGGGGGGGGACCCTCTCCCGAAGGAGCAGAATTAGCGGACTGAAGTGGGAATGTGCCGGAGCGTTTCAGAAATATGTTTGAAGAACAGAGTGGGAGATAACAGGAAATGTTTCTCTTTGTTATTTGAACGAGAGCCCAGAATACAGCTCCAGAGATGCCAGATTGTGACACCGTTTTCCTATTTGACATTCCTGTACTATTACATTTATATCCCGTCCTTCAGCGGGAGCTCTTTTCTCCCACCGCCCTCATTGTCTGCCCTTTTTCTGGCAGAACCAGCCAAGGCTGTCTCTGCCAAGTGTGCTGAACTTGGCTACAGAATTAATCCATTTTCCAGGTGTGCCCAGGAGGTTTAGCCTTAAACTAACTGAAAAGACAGAGTTCACACAATATGTTAAGTCACCCAAAAGCTAACCAAGGTTAACATTAACTAAGCTGTGTGTATTGTATGAAAGCAGCTGTGCAGTAAAGGTTTTCTGTGGTAACTTAAAGACTAATCAACTTCTTATCACGTCACATTTTGGGGATCCCGGTCTGCTCCACTGAATGCCTGGAATCGGTTTGTGGCAAGAAGCACAGATTTTTCGCCTTTGCCGGAAAGTGTCAGGGAGATTTCTCAGGGAGAGGGCAGATGTGCACCCGTAGGAAGAATAAGATCAGGACAATGGGCGGTTGGTTCCCTTGGGGACTCTGCAGGGACTTCTGTCTCACAAAAAATTCTGCTGATTTAACTGAAATTAGTTAAATTAGAGCTGAGCAGAAGAGAAAGCAGTGAAAAAGTGGAATGGGGATAACTTTTCCTAAACTTTTCTAATCCCCTCTGCTGCTTTTAAGACAATGTCACAAATGGACAGGGATGAAACTAACCCTAAATATAACATTTGGCATTTTTTCCTCCTGCATCAAGCAAGGGGTTAGACTAGATGACCTCTTATGCCCTGTCACCTTCTTTCTCTTGGAAAGAGAGGCATTTTTCCCAAGAAAATGGCAGCCTTGTTGTTTATTCAAAGGGCTGATCTCATCGCAGTTTGAGCATTTATTGTGGTCAGTCAAGAAGAGAATGTGGTTGCTGCATTCCAGAAGACACCAGAAGGTTGGTTCTCTCTGACCTGTCCTCGGCGGGCACAGGACTGACCCACTTGAGCCCCGGTGCAGTTTCCCTTTGCTGCCCCTGCTGTCAAGCTGCATGGCACAGAGCAGAATGCTTGTGACAAGGCATGTGCGTGAGCCTGAGGTCTCCTGCCTCATGTGGCAGTTCTCAACTCAGAGATGGACCGTCCTTGGCCTTTGGTGCCCATGGACCTGTTCAGCTTGTTCCTCTGAGTCTGCAGTGCCTGCAGCTGGCATTTAAAGTTTTCTCTTGGTCTTGCATTAAAATGCGTATTTGCAGGTTGATAGTAAAGAGACAGAGAAAGAAGGGGGGAAAGACTAAAATGAACTCTGCTGGGGCAAAAAAAAATAATGTTAGACTGGAATCTAATCTGGAATATGAAGGAGAGAGAGAGAGAGATTCATTCTTCCCAGCTTGTAAACTGTCTGTTTATCTTTTGCCTGATGGCTGTCCCTGGCCCTCTTCCTCTCTCTAAGTGGATCCTATTGATAACTTGATGGTGAAAAATTTGGTCATAATTTCAAGAGAAACTGATTTGAAAATATTTTGAAAAACTAGTCTGCACGCTGTTCTTGACTAAATCATCTGTGCTATAAGAGCCAGTGCTTCTCCTTAGACTTAGAAATGAACCAGAAGATGATGTCTTGTAGTTAGGTGTGTGTCACGTGTTCCATTAGCTTCCTTTCTTAACCCCAAAGCAGCTTGTGCATCAGTACTGAGAAGGTTATTGACTGCTGAGGAGGGAAGAGGAAAAGGGCCTGCTGAGGCGGGAACTGTCCAGGAAATGAGCAGAAGACAGCCTAGCCTGTCTTCATCCAAGCTTTAGCAAGCAATTACACATCTTGCTGACTAATTGCTGAAAAAGTAGACAACACCGCCCTTTTCAAATTTTATCACAGAAGACAGGCTTTATCTCCAAAGTTTTGCTGTTTCAGTAACAAATGACACCAAACGTTGAGGTTTTTTACAGGGGCTCTGATATTATAAAAGGATCTGCAACAGATCTTCAGCACATACTCCATGCAGTTGACTGGTTTTGCTTTAGGTGGGAGGGGAAACAAGGCATGCCCCATGCCCCTGGGGTAGTAAGTAATATTGGATGCCATTCAGATACACTGAAATATAGGTTGTTGGCACTGTGTTATATTTCCCAGCCTTGCTAAATGGCCGTTTCATTAGCTATAGGGACCAAAAATAGGTCTTAAGGGGGCCAGATTGCACACAGTAGCTCTCATTTTCTTGTTCAACGTTGCTTGCAATCTGCTGTCACAAAGTATTACTGAAGATACTCCTTAAAAAAAATTCACCTTGAATTTGGGGCTCAATTACATCCCCAGGATTTCTGGAAATTAAATCTTGAAGCAGGAAGGAGCTGCATCCCCTGTCTAGCGCACATGTGCAAAGGAGAGAGCACATGCATACTTAAAGGCTGCTATCTATACTTTTTTCAAGTGTACAATACATCATAGTGGGTTGCAGTCTGGCTGAACACATTTGACTGGACTGATTCTGCCAATTGCCATCCACTGATTTGTTCATTAAATTTTCATGGATGTGCAACAGCAATCTCCTTGTTTTACAGTGATGGCCACATCTGTGGTAGCATCCGCTCAGAGCGTTTCTACAAAGTGGGAGGACCAAATTACACTTAGCACTAAATGTGTCTTCAGAATCACCCCCATTTTTAAACAGGAAAAGCAAGAAGTGCAGGGGGCAGGGTTGATGGTTGCAGAGTGGAAGGAGAGATCTGACTGCTTTTTGCCCTCCTGTGTCCCACCAAGCCCTCCCAAATACCCCTGCCCAACTGTCATTAATGTGATGGGGAAAGGGGGAAACGAAGCTCTTCGTGTGCCCGATGGGGCAGGAGAAAAAGGGAACTTATGCCCAAAAGGAGTGGCTGCGTTTTAGGCATCCTACAACTTCTCTGCATCCATCCACCACTTTCCTTAAAAGCTGGAGGGAATCTCACATCAATGGGTGGAAATCTTAATGCATTTTCTGAAGTGATCTAATCCCCAACCAGAAAGGAGGCAGTGAAGAGATCCCTAAGTTACTTGGGCGTGAACAGCTGCCCAAAGCTGAGTAAACAAAACGTGCGATTATTGCTTACGGCAGCCACAACATCTGCAGTTCCCGAGGGAGAACGGAGCTACCCTTCTCCCTCGCAAGCGGACAGGAAAGTGGTCTCTTTGGGCAAGAAGGCTCCGAGACCGATTCAAAGGCTCGACCTGGAATTTTATGTCTTGCGAAGGGCGGGATGTCCAGATGGTCGTGTCGGTAGCTTCATTTACTTCAAGATACGGAAGGGCATCTCAGCTGCGGATGAGGTGCACTCCGATCTCTCGCCCAAACCGCCGTGGGTTGAAAAACAACTCAAAACAGAAAGAACCCAAGAGAGCGTGAAGGGCGGGTGCCCATCTTGCTCTAGGAATCCTGTCATATGTTGCTTGGGTCCTTTACTTTTATTGCCTGTAAACAGGATCAAAAAGGTAAACAGCTGGCTTGTTCTTTTTTTTTTTGAAAAAAACAGCTGTTTTCTTTTTCCATTCCTTGGCCATGTACTTAATATGCAAAATTGTTTAAAGGCTTGTTTACAAAGCCTCGTGAGGAAATAGTGTGGAATCTCTAATCAGCTAGCAAACATCCAGTCATTCTTCCCACAGATCATAGTCCAGTGCTAATACAAGAAATTTCCCCTGAAATCAGAAAGTGGCTTTCCAATGCAATTTTTCTCCCTCTTCAGTGAGATTTAGGGCCTGGGAAAAAAGAACAAAGAAAGAAATGGGATAAGTTCAGGGTTATGCCGGACCTTCCTTTCAGGAGCTCAGGAATGCTTATATGGCACTTAGTCCTTCCCTTCCTCTTTTTCCTACTGTGCCCCTGTAAGGTAGGTCTGGCTGGGAGACAGTGACTGGCCCAAGGTCACGTGCTGAGCTTCTGTGGCTAAGGGTGGACTGCCTCGCACCTGGCTGAACCAGATAAATCCACAAATCCATGGTTTTTCCCGATCTCTGTCTAAGCAAATATCCACGGGGTATTTTTAACTTTAAGGCATTTCTCGGTTTCAGCCTTTTCTGATTTTGAAGTCACAATTACAGCTAACCTTTTGAAGGCAGTGTTTTTAATGTTTTGGGGGGGTGGGATTTAGCTTAGCCAGCATTTTGAGGAAGCAGAATGGATTTGCACCTCCTGATCGATATACGGATATGAATCGAATTACCTTCTGGCTGCTTCGCTGAATTCTGCAACCATCTGATTTGAGGACAGGCCTCCCTTAGCTGAAATTTGTTCATCATCAGGCTCTCTGAGTCCCCACACTTTCATTCAGCCCCAAGGAAAACTCTACTCCTGCGGAACTTTTTCGCTCCGGGAAGTGGGGGCAGGCGGGCAAGCTGCTGAAAACACCATTGCCAGCACCCTCTCCCAACTTGCAGGAGTGGGGCTCAGAAAAGGCCCTAAAGGAAATCTAAATCATCTTGGCAGCGAGGCAAAACCACAAAAGCTCCATTCGCAAGAAAAGAAATTGGGGGAAGCAGAGTAGAGCGTTTTAAAAAGTGTATTTTTGGCAGTAGCGTGCCTACAGAAATGACGCATGTTGCTGTTTGTTTTAATCCCAGGTGGCTGCACAGGCTGAAAAGGAAGAACTCATGAGCAAAGAAAGCTGTGTGCCGTTGACACCGGGAGGAGAAAAGCTCGTTCTTCCATGCCACGGACACTTCTAAGTTGAAATCGGTGAATGTGCTGCTCAGACGGCCACACAAGTTCCGGCAGTGCTGAGCCAAGAGGACCACCAGCCTCCCTTTTCACCATAATCCCCGTCCAGCGAAGTACTTACGAGTACCTGCCCGACATTTTCTTGGCGACGGCAATGATGATCCCCGTGGCCACTCCAATAGCCGCAATGGTGCCCAGGACTATGCCAACCAGAGTGGCCGTTTCCAAGCCGTCTGAAGGGGAAAGCAGAGAGACGAGGAATGTTACTTGGAAGAAGCAGCATTACCGTACAATCTGATGCTGGGTCTACTTGGAAGTAAGACTCGTTTTGTTGAATATGACTCCCATCCAGGTGAGAGGGCAAAGCAGCTTTCCCTGGGTGCCCTCTGGCCATGTCAGATGGCAGATCTCATCCTCCGCCAGCCAGGTTTGGGGTACAATAGGAGTGGTAGCCTGGCGACATCTGGGTAGACTCATTGCTCCAAGTTGCAGACCTGCATCTCCGCTGACTAACTGCTGGCTGGGAGGGTCAGCCGGGGCCACTGCAGGCACCCAGGGAAGCTGGGACCTTGGGACTTCCACCTTAGAGAGATCCAACTCTGGCATTCAGACTCATCCGTGAAACAGAAACCAGCCTTTGAAAGAGCCGAGCCGCTGTTTCAGTTGCCGTATTGGGCCTGCTGGCATGGCAGCACCTTTCCCAGGCTCTGGATTAGAGACTGTCCCAGGCAAGGCCTGGGGATTGAGCCTGTGACTCTTCCCCAGTCCCTGAACCAAGCGGGTCAAAAAGGGTGTGCTGGTCTCAGGCCAGGTGCGCTCCCAGCACACCGCATGCCCCTGCCCCCCGCCGGAGGGGAAGCTCCGGCCAGCAACGGGCAGCGCCGCCCAGGCCAGGGGAAGAGCCTGCTCTTCTCCGCTCTGGCAGGTTGGAAGGTAAGCTGGTGCTGCTCTGTAAAGGTTCCTGGGTGAAGAAAAACAGGGCAGTATCGCGCTTGAGCTCGCCCACAAGGCGTGTAAATGCAAAAAGAACTAGTGTGTGTTGGCTCGGTTGCTTTGCTGCTTTGCCGCGTGTGTGCCCCTGCTGCGACGCTGTTCAGAACGCCTTTACAGATGCAGCGAATGCCGCCTTCCAAGGTGTAGAAGACGCAGGGCCAGCTTGCTGGGCTTAGCGGGGGGGGGTCTGCTGTGCCTGCTCTCGGGCCCTGTTCAGGTGGAGGTTCAGAATGCCTGAACGGTGAATGTGTTATCTGCCGGTCTGAGCGGTCGGCAGAAGGTGGCACCCATAGATCTGAACACAGCAAACCTCCGTCGGCTCAGTTTAGCTGTTGTCGCCCCCTTCCCACGCCTTCCTGCGCTGATGGCGTGCTCGGTGCTTTTGCCCTTCTGGATTGGTGCCGTTCGTTCGTTCGTTCGTTCCCCTTTGCGCTCCGGGTGCTGCAGGCTCTGGGCGCCTTTTGTCTGTGTACTTAAGAATGCAAAACAGACTCTCTGCTGGTGGGCCTGCTAAGCTTGCGGGGGTTGGGTGTGCGCTGTTGGTGCAGCCCCTAGTATATATCGCTGCATATATCGTTTGCATGTGCTGGCCTTTGACCTGCGTGCCGCAGTTCCTCTTTAGTATGCCAAGAGTTAAAAGAAGCGTAGTTTTGCTAGCAAGTCTGTGTGTGTGATTCCTACGTAATCTCTTTTTCCGTACCCTGCTGAGCGCTGCAGTGTAACGCATGGGCCAGTAGGCAGGGCTCCTACGCCCTGAAATACGTTGCCTCTACTCTCTTCTCATTCCGTAGGACCCTGAGAATCATTTTGTTTCAGTAGACACTTGGCATCTCCCCCCCGCCCCGGCATCGGAGAGGGGCCCAAGAGGAACACTAGAGGAAGAGAGAAGGGGTTGCCAAAAGGAACACGGTAGTTGTAAACAGCTAATGTCTGGTATGAGTCATTATTTGGTTAATACCATCAAAGAATATGGTAGCTTGTCCCAGTTAACCAGCGGGGCTGGGTACGGGATGGCTGCAGGCTTGTAAACCCAGGGGTTGGGGTGCAGCGTGAGATTCGATACTTCCTTTCCTAGAAGCAAAAGGGCCCTTCTGTAGCACAACAAACCAGGCAGACGCCCAGTGGAAGTGAACCCCCCCCACCAGCTGGTGGCCAGCTGCTTCTGCCATTCAGTCACGGCCTTCTCCTGGCGCTCTCGGCGGCGGTGAGGAAAGACCTCAGAAAGGAGAAGCAAACTGAGGCCTTCGTACGAATGCTTTGGCTCTGCTGCTAGATGTGAAACTCAGAAGACAGAGGAGAAATGCATAGGAAACGAACCGAAACGACTGACACGTTAGGAGCCTGGCTGGGCTGGGCCTACGTTTATTACAGAGAACTCTCTGAAGGCAAATTATCAACAGCCCTGGGTACCCTGGCACAGATTATTAAATCCCAAAATGGTTGGAAAGGAGGTGGGCAAAAAGGAACTCTTTTACTTCTTTGGTGGGCATGCCCTAAAATAAAAAATATTATGGACTATGGTGAGCAAGGTAATTAGCGTATTATCTCCAAACTATTTGTAGCAGAAATTACGTTTGTTTGTTTTTTATATCTAAAAGTTGTGTTAGTTACACTGCTAGCAGCAGCCAGATTGACAAAAGCTCAGTGCTGGAAATCAGATTCCCACCCAACCCCCCACCGGATCTGTGCTTAAATTAATGTTATATGGATGGAAGAATCAGCACTTAAAAAAAAGATGTATTAGAGGACCCAGACCAAAAGGATTTTATGGTTGGTTGCATCCAATCAGTAAAGGTAAGACTAGAAGTACAGAAGACTTTGGTCAAATATTTAATCTGTAAATTTCATCAATGTTTGTGGCTCTTTTCAGTTTTTTTTGACCAGCATTTTTTTTTTAAATAAAGAAAATGAATCAAAGTTACTGACTATTTAGGTTTACATATTCTGGCCTGGAAATAGGAGCTTGGGGAAACTGCCTTCACTGTAAGATGCAAATAACAGATGCTCTGACTGCTAAATTTGTCCTCAGCTTTGATAAAGCGAGCCTTCTCTCGCAAATCCTATTCTTTGTCCTGGAGGAAAGCTCAGAGATTTATCAGGAGCGGTTTGCTTGCTTTGAGGGGATAAAATGTTGCGCTCCTACGAGTTTGTACCTCTGCAGAAGTATATGTGAGGCCCTATCCGGCTGATCTCGTGCGTGAGCAAGCTATGGGAGATCTTATATTTGTAGAAGGAAGTCTATGGAGCATTATATTGCAAGCACCATATTATTAGTTATGTAAGAGGTTCACGAAATTATATTATTGTGGTATTCTCTCATCCTCAAAGGCAACTTGCAAGTGCACTTTTGCAGACCACAAGTTGCGAACTCCTTATTTAGGAGCCCCTCAGCCAAAATCTACTCCCCCCCTGTAATTTCAGCCCCCCGGAGGAGAGTTCTGCCTTCTGGAGCATCAGAGGAGGAGAGGCTTTTCCCTCTTGGGCTGTTGGAGCCCCACCGCCTTCTCTTCAGCCTGCCCCTGCTCAGGGATGGCTGTTCATCTGACCTCTAAAAGAAAGATACGCTAGATCTGGAAAATCCAGTCAAGGTTGATAGTAATTTCAGCATTTTAGGAAGATCCGCACCCTTTCTCGGACTTTGCGTAAGATCTTTAAAAAATGTAAAAATATAGCTTTAATCAATTTAAATAAATAAATAAAGGATAACCTTTTTTAAAACAAACAAACAAAAAACAAGGCTAGCTTTTCTCAGCTGCCTTTCAACTTCAGACTGAGAATATCCAAAATAATTCGGGATGCTTGTTTATCACGCTGGATCCTTTGACAGGATGGGTTGCATCCCAGGTCCTCGTGGCATCCCCCGGTGGCTGTGGTGGGGTGCCTTGGCCCACTTGCCCCCTCATTCGCCTGCAGTCCCCCTTGCTGGTCATGGGACAACGGATCTGGCCCCGGTGGTGTTTCATGAAGAAGCTCGTTTTGCCTGGCCTCCCAGCCGGCACGAGGAGCAGGCTTCTGCTTTGTCAGGAAACCAGAGGAGAGCCTGCTGGTTTTCTGTTACACGAGAGGAGCAGCACTCATTAGCATGGCTCCAGGTTCAAGTAAGGATTGTGGTAACCCAAGAAAGCAACTTAATCATCCCTCAGTTCGTTCCTTGAGATTCAGCCCAGGCCTGCACCCGGCTGTCTATATACAGACCCCATTTGGCCTCAGGGCCAGGGCTGGCATGGGACCAGCTTGCCCAAGGAGGGGATGGAAGACTAGCTAATTTGGGAGGTTACCTGATCTGTCATGCTCATTATGTAACTGTCAACTTGGGGTCGGCTTGTCAGCAGAGCTTCATAGAGCATCAGCAAGAGTGGCTGATGCTGTTGTGGTGACAGATACTTTTTTTAAAAAATAATGTTTTCATGCTTTTTTTTCCCATTACAAATCTGCAAAATGACCCCACAGCATACCATTAGGAGGTTTTGGAGGTTCTGGCTCAGTTGTGTTCTCACCGACGTCACTGGAAGGCAAGACGCTGTCTGTAGTAATCAGTTCCTAAAAGAGGCAGTTATCTATTAATGTAACCAAACGGGGTGGGGGTGGTCTCATTTATTTATTATTTATTTGTTTTATAACCTGCCCAGATCAAAAGGGTTATAGCAGATTAAAAATTATCAACAGAAACGATCATAAATCAACCCTCTCCCATGATGAACACCAGTAACATTTAATCGTAGCTGAAGATTTGGCGAACTAAAACTGTTTTCAGTGGTCTTCTAAAGTGCCATGAGGGAGGGGGCTTCGGCCATCCCAGAGAAGGGATTCCCTCAGTTCAGGAAAAGGAGGGGCTTTTGACAGGCCTCTCTCCGGATGGGCAGATTCAAGGGAAGATTGATTCATCGGGGTGAATGCAGGATACAGCTGTTCCACCCCTCCCTCAAGAGGAGTGTTTCTAAGATGGGGTTTATTATCTCACGGTGCTTCAGAATGCTTAGGCGGACCTACATGGCTCCCCACCCCTGCCAGGTAGAAGAAGAAGGCCAGGTGGGGTGGAGTGGAGGCTGGCCCCAGTTCCGCCAGTGAGCTTAAGACGTGAACAGCAAAGCTAGCAGAGGGCCTGGTTTGACTTAAGGGCAAAGAGTTTGTTAGCACAGCACGAAACCATGGTTTGCTGAATAAGCCACAAGGAGTATCAAACAAACCACATCGTGACTAGGCAGGCATGCAAGACCTTGTTAATAATAGGGATAGCAAAAAATGGGATTCTCAATTCATATTCTTCTTGCAATTCACCTGTTTTGATTTTCCTTTTTTTAAAAAAAACAAAACTCTGCACTGTTTGGCTATTGAGTTGACCTGACATCGTGCCATGACTGACAGCAAGGCACAATCGCCAAAGACGGATAGCTGGTCTTCTCTTTGCGTGAAGGGAGGCCCAGGGAGAGAGTCCCTGGTTTCTCCAATGGACTTGCTGGCAAGGAAAGGAAGGGCTCGTCCTTCGACTAAGCCTTGCGCCTCCAGTTACCTTGCCTGCTGCCAGACCCCAGTTGCCCCTTTCCAGATACTCACCAGAGTGGGCACTTCGGAATAGTCGGCGGCCTCGCTTGCTCCGGTAGGGTCTGCGGCCGATTCCTCCTCCGCTCGCGGTGTAGTTGCTGAACAAAACACAAGAGGGGCAGCAGGAATGGGGCAGGGGTGGCAGACGTTACTGCTCCGAAGCACCAATGAGCTCCCTCTCTGAAGGTGCCGCTGGTCTGCTGCCTTGAGCCCTTTGGCAGTCCTTCCCTTCCCAATTGAGGGGCCTCTGCCCCGGGCTCCTCTTCACCCGGTTCTGTTTTTCCGTCCTCCTCCCCCCCTCCCTCGTGTGACTATTAGGCTTCAACAATGATTGGGAGGTGGGGTCTTTAAGGTCTTTCACGAGCACAGTGCCCCATGCAAATCTGAGGTGAAGAGGCGCTTCTCAACTATGGGGAGAGGCTTCCCTGAAGCAGCGGTGCCTCTTTTCATGCCTGGGTAGAATGCTGAAAAGCACCCCGTGGCTTCAGTGAATGGCAGGGAGGTGCTGTGCCAGGCACGTCTTCCCAATCATTTTTGAAGCGTGCCCAATCCTGACAGCTCCCCGTTCCCGGTCTGGCTTTCTTCTTCCTTCTGGCTGTTTTTGCCAGAAGGAGGGAGGGAACATGCATGCTTTCCATGAGGGTGAGTGTTTCTCAGAGACATGGGAGGAACAGTTACTTTGGTCAACGGGATACCTTATTTTGCAGGCAGTTCATTTTAATTAGTAGTTAATCGGTAGTTTAATATTACATTATTTCTTGCCCTTGCTCTGCCCTGTTTTGGAGTATGGCTTCTGGCAGATGTATGCAGACAAAGGTGTGTTGTGGGAAGCCTTTTATCAGAGAGGTGGAAATCTCTGGGACCGTTTCCAGTCCCAGGGTTGGCAACCAGAGCGGGAGACAGTGGGGAACCTATCTGGGAGAGAGAGGGTATTTCCATCTACCCCTCTTTCATGCGGCTGAACATGTGTTAAATTCAGGATCATCTTCCTCTGGATGAAATATGGTAGGCGAATTAGGACATGACGAGAAATGGATGAGCTGCATTGGACTACTCTCTGGACCAAGCTAACTACCGCTAGTCCTTGACTTACTGCCATTCGTTTAGTGACTGTTCGAAGTTATGAAGGTGCTGAAAAAAGTTACTTACAACCGGTCCTTGCACTTACGGCTGTTGCAGTGTCCCCAAGGTCATTCTGTCAAAATTTGGGTGCTTGGCAACTGGCATGTATTTACAACAGTTGCAGCATTCTGGGGTCACATGATCACCATTTGCAACCTTCCCAAGCAAAATCAATGGGGAACTGTGTGATTCACTTAACGACCACATGTTTCAATTAGCGACTGCTCCAAAAATGTTGTGAAATCAAATGCGGTCATGTGATGCCTCATTTAACGACCACACCACTTAACCACAAATTTTCCAGTCCCTATTGTGGTTGTAAGTTGAGGACTACCTGTAATGACCTTTGCCGGATGGGGCAGTGCTGTCGATTTGGATGGCTTTAAAAGTGGACCAGACAGACCTTGGAGATCAGGCTGCTGCAGCCCAGCTCCTGAATCGCTGTAGGCAGTAACCCTTCAGCGCTAGCTGCTCCTGAGGAGCCGGGTAGGAGGGGGAATTGTTCTCTGGCCATGCCTGGAAGCCTCCCGAGTGCCCCAGGCTGCCTGCTCCGGGACCAAATGCTGTAGCAGGTGGGCCTCGGCCTCGTCCAGCCTTGGGGCTCCCGCCAGTTCTCAAAAAAAGGTCATTCTCAGACTTTCTCAGAGGAAGACGCGTCTGCCCAGCTGTGAGATCTGCTTGTCATCACTTGTTTTGAGCTAGATGGGAAGCCGTGCCCTGCTTCCGAGCAGGTTTCCCTTTTTCCCTTTTGGAACCAAAGGTGGCCCAGCAGAGCAGAATTACTGGAGGCCTTCCTGACACTGGTGCAAAGGGCAGAGTGCAAACAGTGCGTCCACACACTTCACAGTCAGAAAAACATGAAGCGTTTCAAGACAGGAATCATTCATCGGGCCCCATTCGTGATTTTGCCATTGCGGCCTGAGATTTAAAAGATGGAAACGGCTGAGGAGGAGAGGGCTTTTAAAATAACAATTAGTGAATCGTCAAACGAATTCTTTTTAGCTGCTTGGCAGAGTCCCGGGCTTCATGCGGCAGGGCTCTTCTTGGTGATTTGGAAAACTTTCAGGCAAAAAGACGGATTGGGCACTGCCACCAAATACGGCAATTTGTGCCAGTTTGGTTATAAGTTGGCCAATTTGATCTAGAAAGCTTTCAATTAGTATGGTGCAATTTCCTTTCTGCTGCAAACTCCGTTCTCTTTCTGCAGAAAGCTGATGCAGATGTGGCTTACTCACTGCCCTTTGCAGTGCCAGAATCTGACCCAGCACATTCCATTTCCAAATTTCCTGCCAAGGTGCGCTCAGTCAGGAACAGGGCTGCAACTAATAACTTGACATTTAACAAGGATGGATGTTAGGCATTACGCACAGAGCTGAGTCAAAGTTCGTGTTAAAACCGCAGCTTGAAAGACTGAGGGGTAGGAGGGAAGGCAGGTTCAAGGATTTAAAAACATAATGCTTTTCAGGGTCGTGAGAGTTGCTGCAGCTGAGGCGTTGTGAAGGCAGAAATGGAGCCCTCCTGCCGATGTGGTTTTGTAACGATAACACGCGTTGGTGCCTGAAGCCAAATCAGAGTGAAAGCGACTTTTTCTAGAGTAACTTACAGGATGGTCAGCAAGGCACCCAGTTGCTATGCTTGTACAACTTATTTGCCCATGATTAACCATAACTATTTAACCCAGTTTTCCGGGTTTCCCAGCTCACCGTGCCATGAACCGGTGACCTACGGTTGGCACAGTACACTAGTTCAGTGTCTGCAAACATAGCCTTGGTCAGCAGTCAAAGAAATCCAGACTCCAGGAAGTGACCGACCCTGCAGGCCGGGCAGCTTTCAGAGTCCAGAGTCTGAATCAGCTGCATCCCCAGTAAACCACGATGGAGGCAAAATGGCAGTATGCGGGCGGCGTCACTTCCCTGCAGATGCGAGCCTCACGCAACTGCCTCCTAGTGCCTGATGGCAAGCGGCAACCTAGTCCTCCCCTGCAGACCCCACAGCAGCCTCCTGGAGGCTGACCCGTGGCTGGCCTGCCCCGTCCCTCTGGAGAGCCTGTGCGGGTCCTGCAGGCCCAGCGGCTCTCCTCTGGGCCTCATTGCTCAGGAAGGCTGCTCGCGAGCACGGGCACCGCCCTCCCCTTACACGTTTGCTGGCTGGGGGCTTGGGGTGGCCTGCACGGGAGCCTCCCTTGATTTTGCCTCTCCAGCAGCTTCCCTGTGAGCGAGATGGGTGGCCTGGGAGGGAGTGAGCAGCCAGAGGGCTCCCACGGCTGAGGGTGGAACTGAACCTGGGGCTGCTGGCCCCATCAGATCAGATCAAATCTGTATTACAGCCATAGACCAGCGTAATGCCCGGTCCCAAGTCTGATGCTCTCCTGGCGCTCCTTGGCCGCTTTGTTCACCGAACCAACCTGGCGACAGAATGGACTCATTTTCGGACTTTGCGCAATCCGCAGTCTCCTAAACAGACCCACCACGCAGTGCGCCGCAAAGAACGAGGAGGGTGGTGGCAACCCACTTCCACACACAGAGTTTTCCTTCCTCACCTTCCTTTCTAGCTGGAACCCCCAGCACCTTGGAAATCATTAGGGCTGAGCATGCAGCTGAAAGCAAGGGAGGCTTTCCCGGTGCTCCCAACAGCCTGTCGGGGCAGTGGTTAAGCCCCTGGAGCACCCCCCTTCAGGACACGCAGGGCCTCGTCTCCGGGTGTCAAATGTATTGGCTCCTGGGGGACGTGGCCTATCCATGCAGCAGCATCAGAAGAAAAGAGGATGGGGGTTGCAGCCTGCGAAGCCCCCCCGCCACTGGAGAAGGGCACCTCGGGAGAAGCGGGGCGCTTGCTAAGGAAACACGGGTCTTGCTCACGCATCAACCAGCCTGTGGCGGGTTTTATTATGGCGGGTTGGCTGAGTCTCGCCCGAGCGCACGCCAAGCCACGAGCGCTCGGCCCCGACCGGAGGGAGCTTGGGGGGGTCGGCCGCCCCCCCCCCCCCCCCCCCCCCCCTCCTTCGCGCCCGCCCCCCCCCCCCCCCCCCCCCCCC